GGGTTCGATCGAACCCAGGTTAAGAACCACTGCTGTAGGATGTTCAGTTTTATCATTTTTAAACTTAAAGTTTAAAAATATATTACACTGATGGGGCCATTTTATTTACACACAACACATTCTGGGTAAATGATGACGTGGATAGGTCCTCGGTGCGAGGCTGCTAGTGAGCTATATCCACCCTGAAGGTTAATCTTGGACAATATCTGATGATCGACTCTTTTAAATGAAACCAGAGAGCGTTGACAGAGAGGAGAAGGTAGAAATGACTCAGCCTGGAACTGAAAATATGGATGGAGGACAACAGTTTAGCTTGTTTGTCGCACTAGCGCTGAGCTAATACATATAAGACAATACAGCATCAGGGCTAATGCTAAAGCCAACAGGCTAAGCTGAGGTTCTTCTTCCATGAAGCAGCTCTGTTGTCCTCCATCCATATTTTCAGTTCCAGGCTGAGTCATTTCTACCTTCTCCTCTCTGTCAACGCTCTCTGGTTTCATTTAAAAGAGCCGATCATCAGATATTGTCCAAGATTAACCTTCAGGGTGGATATAGCTCGCTCACGCAGAGGACCTATCCATGTCATCATTTACCCAGAATGCTTTGTGTGTAAATAAATCGGCTCCATCCATGTTAAAATATATTTTTAAAATTTTACAAAACTAAACATCCTGCAGTATTTTTACTGTCTTTATTTCACAGTTAAAACAAATGTTTATCAAATAAAGTTAAAAATATTAATTTGTTTCTTAAAACTAATGAAAACCATTAAAAACAGCAAAGTAAATTAATTATTGAATAATAAAGGTGCAAAAAGAAGAAGAAAAATACCATATATCTGCCCCTGTTAAAAAACAACTTCCTCCAAGCACTAACATCATGTGAGGTCTTTGTTATAAAATCTGACCTGCAGCTCTGCTTTAAAAATAGCCGGGTTGTCCCTTTATTTAACCTGGCTCTGACACTGACCCAGCTGTTTGCAGGTGACGTGCTGCACGTGCAGCGTATCCTCGTGAGAACAGTTATTTTTTAAACTAAAAACATGATTTGTGCGCACAACAGATGGAAAGGATCGGTCTGAGCTGTGATAATGGAGCTGACTTCAGTCTGACCTCGGCCCCTTTATCTCAAAATATCTGTTTATTGAACTCATTTGGCTGCATCTCGCACAAACTTTTGCCTTTCCCCCTCTTAGTTTCTCTGCTCCATAAATCTCTTTCTCCTTTCTTTCTAACATGTTTGTTAATTTTACCAGCGTGGCTCACCTGTTTTCTTTATCTTTTTTAATTTGCATATTCTCCCGGCTCCACAGAGCCGCTGTTTACAGGCAGAGAGAAGGTTGGTGCGAAAACACAGACTGGATAACAACCTGGCATGTCCCTGTGTGTAACACCACGGGTTGCGGTGAAAACATGGACTGGATAACAACCTGGCATGTACCTGTGTGTAACACCACGGGTTGTGGTGAAAACATGGACTGGATAACAACCTGGCATGTCCCTGTGTGTAACACCACAGGTTGTGGTGAAAACATGGACTGGATAACAACCTGGCATGTCCCTGTGTGTAACACCACAGGTTGTGGTGAAAACACACACTGGATAACAACCTGGCATGTCCCTGTGTGTAACACCACGGGTTGCGGTGAAAACATGGACTGGATTTATATCATCAATACTCGTATTGAAATGAACTGTAAACTGGACCAGAGTTGAGTTTTTGGCGTAAGTCCTCAGCGTGAGAAAGTGGGGGTGTGGCGTGAAAGCGTGTAAGACCCTCAGATGCGTGTGTGTCACTCTCAATGCGTGAGACTTGAGAGCCCTGTTAACAGGGCTGTGATTAGCTGTTACTAGCTGCGTTTCCATTGACCGTGAAAATGCGCAAATTAGAATTTTGAAAATAAATTTGCTCAATGGAAACACGTCAATTTCGAAAAATACTACGTTTTTCGACAAAATGTTTTTGCGCTAGGATGAGGTGGTATTTTGGCCGTATCGAAATTGGAGTTTTTTTGCAAAACTGCAACGGAAACACTTTTTTCACATCACGGGAGTCACGTGATCAACAACCGGCTGTTTCTACTGGCGAAAAAGACAATGACGAAGAAGATAACAGGAAGTAGAAATAGTAGTAATATCACAGAAGTAGTAAAAGAAAGTAATAAACTCACCGACTACAATTTCCCAAAAACACAGCATACGTAGCCACTCCCAAGTAGGGGCTTGTCACTGGAAAGCCTCGATAAAAGACGCCGACATCTCCTCTAATAATGAGCGCTAGTGTCGCGGTAGCAACATGCTATGTGTTTACATCCATCACCGCCATGTTTGTAATGACTTATTGCGAGAACAAAAGTATTCATGCGTGACTTTAACAGTATTTCTTACTTAATGGAAACACTGAGGTGCGAAACTGTTTTTTCAACATTAGCAGAATATCAACAAAATTTTGCACGCATTTGCAATGGAAACGCAGCTAGTGTTAGCTTCTGTAAGCTTTTTGTACATGTTTAGCAGTTAAGCTTTGGCGAAAGCTATATTTTTAGTTAGTACATTATGAGTTAGCAAAGTTAACGTTTTGGTTAGCTGTGCCCATCAATGCATTCAACCAAGAGAAATCAATCACTTACTAATACAGGCCTGGTGGGTGGCTAGGACGTACTCCCCCGCAGCCAGGCTACGTGTTGTTTATTTAGGGCCAGTGCCAGGCTAGGACCTACCCTGTCATTAAAACATGTTTCTGTACTGCAAACACCCTCTGACTCCACAACCACATTAGGAGCACTACCACCAGCCTGGCAAGTTTTCTGGGGGCAACCCCACCTCCCTCTAACACTAAAACTACCCAGCAATGACCCAGACGTCTTACTATTTGATGTTCACGGTAGTGCCTGGTGACGGTGCCATGAGCAGCCTCCGCCTCGATCGTCTTACCGTCAGGACACACCAGGACTGACGTCATGAGACCCAAAGATCCAAAACCTGAATGCAAAGCAAAATATGTCCTTAAAAGATAAAATAAATAAATAACGAGGAAGAACTTCAGCTGCTTGGCATCATTAACTAGCTGCAGTACCTTGAGCCAGAATATCTGACTGTACATCTCCATCATAGTTTTTACAGGCCCAAACAAATCCTCCGGAGGACTTCAGGACCTGGGCCACCATGTCATCAATGAGTCGGTGCTCGTACCAGATCTTCAGCTTATCGAACTCGGGCTTGTACGACCTGAAGGAACATAAATAATGACAGTTTAACTTAGAGGATTGGTGGTTTTTAGAGGGAAAAAACAAAAAATAATCAGTTGTGCTTCTTACGCCTCAAAGATTTCCTGGAAGATGTCTTTGAAACGGCCATCGTAGGCCTTCAGGATGGTGTTCTTGGTGCTCATGTACAGAGGCCACTTCTTCTGGATGGCGTACTGGAAGCAGCTGTGAGCGAAACCAGTGATGGACTGCACAAAGAAAATGTGAGTCCAAGGTCAGAAAACAAACACTTGGAAGATTTTTTTTTCCAGGTTTCCCTCCATTTAAAAACCGTCTCACCTCGTCAGTGTTGTACATCCCCAGCCCGCAGCCCCCGGCCGTGAAGTTGTACACGTCCCACTCCTGCTGCTTGCTCCCGTCACTCGGGCAAAAAACAAGCTTAAATTTTCCAGGCTTTTCCACAACAAAGTCCGTGGCCCTGTACTGTTCAAATCAAACATTAGTATCAAAGCATGTTTACCTTTCTACTATGAAAAAAAGAAAAATACACATTCATCTGAATTAATACCTGATCACCAAAAGCATGTCTGCCAATCGTTATCGGTTGAGTCCAACCAGGAACGAGGCGAGGAATGTTCTTACAAAGGATCGGCTCTCGAAAAACCGTGCCGCCCAGGATGTTCCTGATGGTTCCGTTGGGACTCTTCCACATCTTCTTCAGTTTAAACTCTAAAATAAGATTACGGGTCTGATATTTGAAGACGTAATCATGACTTACCATCAAATACAGACTAAAAATGCAAATGATTTGTACATGTTGGACATAAATGAGCAGAGAGGTTGGCACGGCTAACCAAAATGCTAGCTTTGAAATGCTAAACAGGTAAGAAGATTACTTAAAGCTAATGCTAACTGCTAACTCGAGGTCTGTCATTTGAACAATGACGTGGTTTCCACAGAAACATCAGACTCTTGGCTAAAAGCTCATAAAAACTGTTTCTACGTCCACCAAACAGTAAAAAAAAACATAAGCAGTTGAATCAGAAAACAACTTTCGACAAAGTGACGTAAACAAAATTCTTGGGTCTATTCGCTCAGCTCCGCGGCTCCTTCATACACAACCAATGTGTCTGCTGAAAGTTTCATCAATCCAACCAGGATTCACTCAAACACAAGCAAATAAAACAGGAATTACGTCTCGGGAATATCCATCTCCTCTGAAACATAAATCCACTGGGATAAAACCATACAAACTGAATAACTACATCTCCTAAAATGCTTTAGAGCATTTTCCCCTGACAGCACTTGTCTGACCATATTGCAAAGATTTGAGACGACGAAGGCGACTGTCACTGTCTGTGGCACACATCTTCTTTTCTTCCAGGGGAAGACTAACACACAAACTAACAAACAACACACAAACTAACAATATTAGATGCACACACAAGGCGCATGATGAAGGAGTGGCATGTAGGGGTGTAACAATACATCAATCTTTATCGATATATCAGTTTGATGGTTCATGATTCAGTTATATCGATGCAAAATGAAAATTTCATATTCTCGATGTGAATCGATATATCAGGGGTCTGAGGCAGCATGACCCAGAGCACCTGTTCTCCTACGTTTGTTATGTTCTGTCTTCTTCTGAATGGGTGTTCTGAACTGTAATTTCATTGTGCTCTGTACAATGACAATAAAGGTCTATCTTATCTTATTGTATCTTATCTCATCTTATCTTATCTTATATCGTATCTTATCGTGTCTTATCTTATATCGTATCTTATCGTATCTTATCTTATATCGTATCTTATCTTATCTTATATCGTATCTTATCGTATCTTATCTTATATCGTATCTTATCGTATCTTATCTTATATCGTATCTTATCTTATCTTATATCGTATCTTATCGTATCTTATCTTATATCGTATCTTATCGTATCTTATCTTATATCGTATCTTATCTTATCTTATATCGTATCTTATCGTATCTTATCTTATATCGTATCTTATCGTATCTTATCTTATATCGTATCTTATCTTATCTTATATCGTATCTTATCGTATCTTATCTTATATCGTATCTTATCGTATCTTATCTTATATCGTATCTTATCTTATCTTATATCGTATCTTATCGTATCTTATCTTATATCGTATCTTATCGTATCTTATCTTATATCGTATCTTATCTTATCTTATATCGTATCTTATCGTATCTTATCTTATATCGTATCTTATCGTATC